CAGCAGGAAAGAAGGAAGTTTAAAAATAAATAGGGCATGGTTTCCTGTCCTGAAAAACACAAAATGCTCTACATCTTACAACAGCACTACAGTTGAGATTAGAATTTCAACAGCCAATCCACATGCAAAAGAACCTCCTCAGGAAAGCTCCTCCATTAGCATGGGAAACTCCTACAAGACAATGACTCAGCCCTACCCCACCTTCCTGAGTAGATATAAATTACCTGCCTACCATTTTTCTTCTCACATTGACACAGAGAGTACTTCATCTTTCTGTGTTATACCTCTGAGGATGCCAGTCGCAGCTGCTGGCAAAATGTCAAGTACTACAGTGCCAAGACCACGGCCATACAGCCTGGAAAATCTTAAAGCCTCCAACAACATATTGCTTTAACTGTTTAGTGCTGCTACAGCAAAAGATGCTGTCCAGTTTTTCATGGTTTCTTATAGGATTACTGGTGGGGGGTTTTAACCCTATAGGGAGCCATAGTCCTCCATTGGGGTGTAAGAACCATTGTGAAGAACAGTGAGATATTATGTGCATGTTTTAGCTTTTGTGTTCCTTGGAGCAGGGGCCTATCGTACCATTACTCTAGTATCAAGAATGTTTATTGTGCTGTATTTAAAAAAAAATAAAATATACTTGCCTAGGAACATCTAACTGGTAGGTTCCTTTTGTTTGTTTTTCATCTGGTTCTTCTTTTAAAAGGCAGCAAACTGAAAGCTCAGGTCCAGAACACCAGTCTGATGCATTCAGAATCTGAACTGGACAGCGATGAAGCAATCTTCACATGGCCGGATCGGGAGAAAGGAAAACTCCTGCGCAACCAGAATGGTTTCCTGCGCAATGGGCAGGCGGCACCCAAGCTGAAGAGTCAACGGGAAGAGATCCTATAGCTGCAGGCTGGCACTGGCTAAGTTCTATGGCAAATGGTCATAGGAGGCTGTTCTTTCCCTCCATTGCACGAGGAACCAATGGAAATCAGCCTCACCGTGTTCAGGGTAACGCTGCTAACGTATTATGTGACCACACCTTTTGTTTACTGCTGATCTTTTTCTAACTGCTCGTACTTGAATTTGGACTTCAAGGGAAACTTTGGCAGAAAGAAGCTGTGAAACAAAGACTGTGAAGGGCAGGTGCTCGTTCCAAAACGCCACAGAATTTACCTCCTCTCCAGAAACTGTAAAATTGCCAGCCTGTGTCAGGCACCTTTTCCTACAGGCCCCGAAATCTGACTGCCCGGGGGATGGCCCTCTTCACCCCCATGTCTCCCTTTTGTGGAGGGCGGTTGGTTGTGTTTGCAAGAACCAAACATTGCTCTCACCTGCCTTGAAATCCAAGATGCCTCGGACTGCGTGTTGGGGTCTCTTTTTTTCCTAAAACACTCATTCCTACTGTAGGAAAGCAATTTTGGTTTCCTCCCATTTTCACTTATGAGTTTTCCAAACAGGAGGAGAAGGCCAGGCTCTGCAGACTGTGAGGTGTTGTGGCCTCAGGGGCAAGGGTGGGAGAAATGCTTTTGGGTCATGTTTATGATTGTAAAGGATTATTTTTTCCCCCTTATCGTTTTAAATTATTGTTAGTATCAACACTGGGAATGGAGGCAATGCTGCCATATCTGTGACCCCCCGCGCCAAACACTTCCTGTCAGTTACCAAGGCCCTTCATCTTTGTAGTCTTTAGGACAGCAAGTTCCTCTTCTAGTTGAGAAATATCTTTGATAATGGAAAAATTTTTGCACAGTTGTAAAGGAGAAGGGGGGGGGGGGTCAAAGCCAAGCATGGCTAGACTGACTGTTTTGATCCCAATAGGTCAGTGCCTCCACCACCACCACCCTCTGGTTTGCACTTCTTTGTTCCTTGTTCATTGTGTGCTTCTCATAGGACATGTCGGTTTTTATAAGTATCAGAGAAATGTCCCACCTTTCCCTTGCCCAAAGTAGTCTCTGTTAAGCCTCCTCACTTGAATGACCACTAATTTTGTAGAAGAAGAGGTACCTCTGCTGTTTGTCCCAGCCCCCTCCCTCTCCTTTTTGAGCCAATGGAATGTGATGACTGTGTGTGATCTATCCTCTCTCTCGTCTTTCCCCCCTGCTTTATCCTCCCCACCTTTTGCTCCCTTCACACTTGGCAAACATTATGCCTCCCCTGAAGAGTAAATGCACTTTGAAGGACTTCCCTCTGCTGTCCTCTAGCCCCAGAGCAGAACCTTCCTGCGGCTTGTGCTTCGATGCAGAGGGGCTTTGCTTTAATTTTAAAAACTAAAAATTTAAGTCTTCTCTAGGTTAGGGATGGTCAGCTGGCTGCCTGTAGGGCAATTCCAGTCCAGGAGGCATTTTTTTTTTTAATCTTCTGGCCCCACAGAGATTGAGAGATCAAAGCTGAAGAAAGCATTTGCAATAATAACTTTAGTCCATTTTAATGTCATGGGGCGGGGAGAAGGCTGAGAATGTGCCACAGTTGTGACCCTTAACCAATGCCTGGAAAACTAACACAGCCCCTAAGACTGCAGAAGCTGGCCATCCTCAGTCAAGATGGAACAGATGTTTTCATTGGGTTCTGGTGGTTCTGTTTCCATGGCGTCACGGCTGAGTTGTTGAAGGTCATACAAATTAAATATACTGCTCATTTGGGGGGGGGCTCTTTCCCCCGTGAATTGTCAGCCCAGGCTCCTGTCGTCTTTTCCTGTGCAGTTGGATGGGGTGGGTGTTAGTCACTGTTCACATTTCACTTGATTTCTGGTATCTTTCAGGATGTGTACATGTTGCCCCCGTGTAAGGAGAGACAGCTTGCCTGCATCGGCCTGCCCAAAAGCAGCACAGCCAGTCACAGGTCTGGCGTTGGGCCTGTAAGGTGCCAGTTTGCACTGGGGAGGGGGGAGGCTGGGCTTCTCAGCAGGTGCTATCGGGGGACCGCTGGGACAGTGCTGTGAGCAAGGCCTTTTTAGATAGCCACACACTAGCTTGATGGTATCCAAAGTGTGTGACGGTAGAGCTACAGAGTCACAGTCCATGTACTCCTGAAACCCAGAAGATATGATTAGGCACACCTGGAGAACCTGCATTCCATGTGAGGGAAACACATCTGTAAGAAACTGTGCTGCTAACGGTGCCACATGGGGGACTCTCCTTTTTGTTTTTAGGTTGTTATTATGAGAACAGCCCAATAGCCCAGCTGAGTAGAATCTCATCAGAGCTTGGAAAGATAAGCAGGGTCAGCCCTGGTTAGTACTTGGACGGGAGACCATCAAGGAAGACTGGGGTCACTACACAGAGGAAGACAATGGCAGACCATCTCTGTCCCTCTCTTCCCTTGAAAATCTCATAGTCCTGGGATTGCCATGAGCTAGTCGCAACTTGATGTAATTCTCCTGCCTAGAGGCTGGCAACCCTGTTAATAATAGTAATATGTACTATGTAAGTAAATGAAATCAAGGTAAGGTCCCAGCTGCAGGTTTACAGTCTGAATTAGCGGGAAGGTGACTTTAAGGAGCCGGAAACTCTTTGAAAATGTTTGTAGTGCAAAGTGCACAATCTTGATTATAAACCAAAAGCATTAGTGTGAGCTTTTGCAGTCTCCTCCTTCCCCTTCCTTGTACAATTCTGTATCCTTATTTGTTTGCTGTTAGCTATGCATTATGATTTCCCAAGTAAGACATTCAATGGTTACAATTTTCCCATATGTGGAAAAACACCAGAGACATCTGCGTTAACTATGCTGCCCTTGGTCAAAAGTGTTATTTCATTTCATTGTATTTCTTGCTGTCCGATGTTCAGGCATGTGCATTTTTTTTTTAAATAGGCAAAGATAGTGTGGGACCTTAAAAAGACAGTTAAAAATAATCTGTTGATTTCAGTTTAAAACTGTTCCTGTTATGTTCTTTCCTTTTATCTTCTGGAGGCAGCCAAACTAGTCTTTTGGTTAATTATGTCCTGGCTTGCAACAAATCAGAAGTGAGAACTTAATTTCCCCCCCTTCAGCCTTACCTGCAATGAATGGAGTTTTCCTGCTTGGCTGGTCCTTCTCTTGATTTTTTTCACAAAGTAGTAGATTTCAGCACTTTTTAAAGGAAAACTGGTGGCAATGAATCCTTGCCCACCTGCCAGTATGGGTGGTTGCATTAATTCCTTCCTTCAGCAACAAGCACAGCATTGGCCCACCATTAGGTTGTCTGTCACTTTGTCCTGAACTCCTTAACTAAGACCTTCCTTGTGCTCATTGTGATTGCCACAGGGTGTTTTTGGTGTGTTTTTTTTTAAATTCCACTTTAACTATCATGGCTTTGTCCAAGGAATCCTGGAAGGTGGGGGGTTTGCTTTTTAAAATGAGGGTGCTACTTAAAAGATCCCTGGTCTCCTTTTCACAGAACTACATTCTCAGGGAGCTTTGGGAGAAGGGATAACTATTAATCTAGCATTTGTACAGCATTTTCTGGGTATTAAACTACATATTATGTTAAAAGCAGTGCAGTTAAAAGCAGCTTGGGGACAGTAGCAATTTTTTGCAGGGAAAATTCTGCAATGGGAAAGTGGAAAGAGTTAAATAACCTTTCTCCTCCCTTGTTCATCTCCTACTTCAAATCACAGCCCCTGTGGCTTCATTCTGTTATTTTTTCCTGTTGTTTTTTTTAAAAAACCCCAACTGCTTGTCAGGCCTTCGTGCATCTTTCAGTTTACAGCTTGCCTGTCATTAAGTGAGTAGGCTACCCCCCCTCCCTTGGAAGTGTCCGAGGCTCGTCACCTTCGTGATGCCAAATTGCTGGGCTTCTCAAATGTCTGTGATCTTATGTCTATGATATGTAAGGCTACCTGCCGTTTGGAGAAGGAAGGGGGGAACTGGCGGGCAAAATACTAGGAAATGATTGGGTCTTGATCTGTAGTGCTTTTACTTGAATCCCCTATATCTGTACCCTTCCCGCGTTCAGCTTCAGTCCAAGCAATAGATGTGTCTAGGATAGTCTCTACCAACTGTCTCAATTAAGTTAGCTTTCTACGACTGGCTGTTGTTGAGAACTGATTGAACCGGGAACCCGACACTGCTCCATATGATGCCCTAGGGTCATCAAAGCATGTCATCACATCCATTATCTCAGATTCCTTATATTCTTTAAAAAGTTATTAATTCTTTAAAAAGTAACATGGGTCACTCACTCTTATTGTTCCCTGCATTGCAGGGATTGTAGTGGTACTGGTTCACCTGCCTCAAGGTGGGGTTTGAACAGGGAGCTTCCCAAGTCACAACTCAATGTCTTAACCATTACACTCACCACTCTCTTAGATCTATCCTAATAATTCAAGATGGGTAGCCATGTCAGATTCTCTATTCCTTGGCTCAGTCATCAACCAAAAGTGGGACGGCAGCCAAGAAATCAGAAGGAGACTGCAACTGGAAAGGGCAGCCATGAAGAAGCTAGAAGAGATCCTTAAGGGCAAGGATGTATTGCTAGCATCCAAGATCAATATAACTCATACGATAGTAGTTCCCCATTACTATGTGTGGGTGTGGAAGTTGGCCAGTGAAGAAAGCAGACAGGAAGAAAGTTGATTCACTTGAAATGTGGTGCTGGAGGAGAGTTTTACTGATACTGTGGACTGACAAAAAGACAAACTCGGTTCTAGATCAAATGAGGCCTGAACTTTCCCTAGAAGCTAAAATGACTAAACTGAGGCCCTTGTACTTTGGTCACACCATGAGAAAACAAGAGGCACTGGAAAAGACAAGACTAGGAAAAGTTGAAGGCAGCAGGAAAATAAACGGGCCTTGTGATACTTTAAAAATGAGTGAGATCTTATTCCCACCTATGGTTTTGTTGACTGTAGTGGGTTCTAGTCCATGAGCACATGCGCAGGAATAAAATCATGTTCATCTTTAAGATGCTTCAATACTTGTGTTGATTTCTAATCTCGCCTAGTCTCCTTCCATTGTCTTCTCATTCCCTTGATGTTTCAGACCTCAGCTCTCCAAAAAAAGAGTGTATGAAGACAAGTTGGAAGACCACACTGATGAAAAAGGATAGGCTACACAGCAGTGATTCTTCAGACTTACTCATTGAGAGCCACTTGGAAAGTAACTCCATGCTATTTTCCCCCTCCTCAAATAAAACATAAGAATCTCACATCAATTAAGCCAAGTTCATGTTTTATTTTAATTTCTAGCACTTTTAAATATATGGCACTATTGAGCAACAGGCTGCAGTTCTTGGCCATTTTGCACATTCTGTAGAGGTAGCACCAAATTTACCACCAAACCTCCCACCGCCTCCTTTTTCCTGGCCTCATGAACCCTTCCCCTGCAAGAGATTGGATGGGTCTGCGAGTCAACAAAAATAGTAAAGATGGTGTTTTGTCCTGGCTGTACTTCAGATGGGGCTCAAGCAACTGGTAGGCAGAACACAAAGGGAGATTTGTTTGTTTTTGAATAATTTATTATTTTAATGACTTTAGCATAGAACAAATATTGACAGTCCACAGAAAAGCAAATTAAAACTAAGCTGGTAAAGAAGAGGAAAAAATCTAAATTGACCCAAAAGTTCACGGGCTGTTTAAGCAAAGGTTTAAAGTTGTTTTGTTGATGATGTAACCTATTGAGTGCTGTTCCTGGGAGAAAATTATGGAAACTGCCCATGTCATAAGAATATATGAGGAGCCCGGCTGGATCCCTCTAGCCAGCGTCTTGTCTCACACAGTGGCTACTAAGCTACTATGGAAGGACTAAAAACAGGGCATAGAGGCCGAGGCCTTCCCCTGATGTTGCCTCCCCTGGCACTGGAATTCAGAGGCTGACTGCCTCTGAATGTGGAGCTTCCCTTCAGTCACCATAGCTATCCGTCACTGAGAAGACCTCAGAGGATTCAACAGGTCCCCACACACACACCTGTGAGCCAATCGGCCCGTTTCCCGCAGGCGGGAAAGAATAACCGATGGTCAAGGCTGAGAAACGAAACTAGTCTCACGGGTAATTAAAGTGGAGACACTACACAGACAGGAATACAAGGTCAGCGATAACGATGGGAGAATCAGGAGGGAAGGAATGTGGCACTAACTTGTACAGAGGTCAGGAACTCCAGGCCTACAAACCATATGGCAGCCTAGCTGACAGCAAGTGAGTGGAGAAAAATATTATGAAAAGGAGACTTGGGTAGCGTGGGAGATTCAACATCATCAATAAAGTAGGTTGAATGAAAAACAGTTAAGGAGCTCAGAAGCATCAGCCCAAAGTATGCGGGCCACATACTCCTTCACTTGCAGCTGCTGGATGACCTTCAGCAAGGCATAGTTCTGTCAGAGCTGTTCTCTCAGGAGCAGTCCTTGAAAGAGCTCTCTTAGCCCCACCTACCTCACAGGGTGTCTGTTGTGGGGAGGGGAAGGGAAAGGAGATTGTAGCCGCTCTGAGACTCCTTCGGGTAGTGAAGGGCGGGGTGTAATTCCTGTCTCTCTCTCTTTCTCTCTTCTCCTCCTCCTCTAAAGGGACTTGCTGATATAATTTCAGAGCCCCTGTCCATTATTTTTGAGAATTCTTGGAGAACAGGAGAGGTGCCAGAAGATTGGAGGTGGGCAAATGTTGTCCCCATTTTTAAGGGGGAAAAGGAGGATCCAGGTAACTACTGTCCTATCAGCTTGACCATTATACCTGGAAAGATTTTAAAACAAACATTCAGTTCTT